CCAGAGGAAGATCAGTCAGACTAATTTGAGGAGTGGAAAGATATGTCTTATGAGGAGCGGCTTAACATGCTTGCCCTTCAGATCACAGTGAGCGAGGGGATCCAATTTAAGCACACTTGATGCTAAGGGAGTTCAAGTCAGGATGCTCTTATGGACCCGGTGGCTCATTATGTAATATAGCCTTTCCCAACCTGTGGGTCCCCAGATGTTGTTGAACTACAACTCCCATCACCCCTAGCTAGCAAGGCCAGAGCTCAGGGATGATGGGAGTTGTAGTCCAACAACATCTGGGGACCCACAGGTTGAGAACCCTGGGGGGGGAAAATTGCCCAACTGGATCAGGCCCATCTTAGGCCAGCATCCTGTTTTCACAGTGGCTATCTGGATGCCTGTGGGGAACTCGCAAGCAGAATTTGTTTTTGTTCCCCCCCTCAAAATTTTATTCATTTTATAACACAAATAAACAATACATACAGAAAACAAACAATACAAACAAATTCTTGTCTTATCCTTATTTTTTTAAACATTATTAGGTGGGCTTCCCCAAGTCCCCCCTATCTGATTTTCATTTTACCTCATCTTTAGCAGTTCATAATTTCTAACCATTTTTTTTATCACCTTTACTTTTACCATAAAAATCTTCACATTTTATCACTTACAATTAGTACTATTTTAAAATAGACTATCTTCTACTTCTAATCCTACGGCCTATATCCACTTCCAAAGCTATTCTAAGATTTAAATACAGTGGTACCTCGGGTTACATATCCTTCAGGTTACATACGCTTCAGGTTACAGACTCCGCTAACCCAGAAATAGTACCTCGGTTAAGAACTTTGCCTTCAGGATGAGAAGAGAAATCGTGCTCTGGTGGCGCGGCGGCAGCAGGAGGCCCCATTAGCTAAAGTGGTGCTTCAGGTTAAGAACAGTTTCAGGTTAAGAACAGACCTCCGGAACGAATTAAGTACTTAACCCGAGGTACCACTGTATTAACATATTTCTTCAAATATTGCTTAAACTTCTTCCAATCTTCTTCCACTGTCTCTTCTCTCTGGTCCCGGAGTCTCCCGGTCAGTTCGGCAAGTTCCATATAGTCCATCATCTTCATCTGCCGTTCTTCGATAGTTGGTAATCGCAAGTAGGATTTGAGCAATAAGAGCAACTCTTCCCTCTTGAGGTTTCCAGCAAACTGGTATTTGACTTCTGACTATGGAGGCAGATCATAGCCGTCATGACTGGTAGCCATTGATAGACCCCTCCTCCAAGAATTTGGCTAGTCCTCCTTTAAAGCTACCCAAGTTTGTGACTGTCCTCCTGTGGGAGGGAGTTCCACAGTCTAACAATACGCTGCCTGAGTACGAGAGAGAAGCCTCGAGGCTGTGGCTGATGGCGGTGTGGTGCAGCAGGCAAAATCCTGGATTTGGCTGCGAGAGCCAACATCCCAATCTCCTTTCAACTTGTTTGTAGCAACCATCGGGCTCTGCTACCACATGTTGGTTTACAAGCCCCCCCCCCTCACTGCTCTCGGAGCTTGTTTAGCGGTAACCTCCTTTGGCTGACTTCCCGGACAGACCAGGGAGATTTTGATAGGCAACATTTTCCCAGTGTGGGTAAATGCACACCCCCTCCTCCCGCTTCCCTAGCAGGGAAAGGAGACAGCCAGAAACATCTATTTACAGTGGTGCCTCGCAAGACGAAATTAATTCGTTCCGTGAGTTTTTTCGTCTTGCGATTTTTTCCGTCTTGCGAAGCAGGGTTTCGGAAAAGTTTTGGAAAAGCTTCAAAAATCACCAAAGTCTTCAAAAACCTCAAAAAAGGCTACCACACCGCGTGCTATGAGTTGCTCCTCGAAGTCAAGTCGCAACTGTATTAACGGTTTTAAGAAAAAGGAAACAAACTTGCAAGACGTTTCCGTCTTGCGAAGCAAGCCCATAGGGAAAATCGTCTTGCGAAGCAACTCAAAAAACCAAAAACCCTTTCGTCTTGTGAGTTTTCCGTCTTGTGAGGCATTCGTCTTGCGAGGTACCACTGTACATTCTTTTATTTCTGACTTTATAGCGCTTCAGAAAAACATGTCCGATCAATTCAGTTCTTCTAGCAAGTCTGACAAACTTCCTGTACATACGCAAACGGAAGGTTTCAAATTACACTCTTCACAGATCCCTGAGAAGCCTGTGAACTTCCGGGGAAATTCTTTCCCACAGCTAGGGATGTCCCACAGGCAAAATGCTCCATCGCTGAGCTATGGTCCTTCCCTAAAGGTGAGTGAGGGGATGGATGGACGCGATAGATGGGAATGAAATTCTCTCTTTTCAAAAATAATAATAATTGATTTTACAAATATAGAATTACAACAGTACAAATTACATATCCATGTTTAGAGATTTTCCTGAATCTCTGGACTTCCCACCTTCCCCTCCATGGGTCCTATTGTCTGCCTTCTCAACTGCATATTATTTCATCATCCATGTGTGGTGTAGTGGTTAAGAGCGGTAGTCTCGTAATCTGGTGAACTGGGTTCAATTCCCCGCTCCTCCACATGCAGCTGCTGGGTGACCTTGGACCAGTCACACTTCTCTGAAGTCTCTCAGCCCCACTCACCTCACAGAGTGTTTGTTGTGGGGGAGGAAGGGAAAGGAGAATGTTAGCCGCTTTGAGACTCCTTCGGGTAGTGATAAAGCGGGATATCAAATCCAAACTCCTCCTCTTCTTCTTCTTCTTTCCATTTTGTCCATAATATTTGCTACATTCCAAGTGTTATTTGAATCCTGCTAATATTTTCATCTCTGGATAGTGGTCTCCTAGATACATTATCAATTTTCCCATTCTTTATTAAAGTTTTTGTCCTCTCGGTTCCTGAGCTTTCTGCTCAGTTTTGCCATTTCGGCATAATCCAACAGCTTGGTTTGCCATTCCTCTGTGGTAGGGACATTGTCTTCTTTCCATCTCTGGGCTAGTAGCATCCGTGTGGTTCAGGGTTGATTTAGGTTTGATGAAGCGCTAATAAAGGTAATGGGGCCCTTTATATGTCCAGCTGTCCTTTGTCAACAACAAACTGTCGCTGTTTTTTGCGTTGAATATATGCTACATGGCACCGTATTTTGCACTCTATAAGACGCACCTGACTATAAGACGCACCTAGTTTTTAGAGGAGGAAAACAAGAAAAGCCAAGCAAGAGCTGCAGAAACGCTCACTCAGCGCAGCTCTTTAAAGATAGAGCGGCTCTTGCTGGCTTTCCTGGGAGGTGGGAGAAGGACTGACGGGCTCCATCCCTTCTCCCTCCTCCCTGAAAAGCCAGAGCAAGCTGCGCAGCTATCGCTGAAGCCAGCAGAGCAAGAGGGAGAGCTGCGCAGCGCCTCTTGGTCTGCTGGCTTCCCAGCGAAGCAGGTTGAGGGACGGAAGGGGCTCCGTAAGGGCTCCTTTCCATTCCCTATCCCGCTTCGCTGGGAAGCCAGCAGACCAAGAGCGCTGTGCAGCTCTCCGCTCTTGCTGTGCTGGCTTCAGCGATAGCTGCGCAGCCTGCAATTCTCTCCATAAGACTCACACACATTTCTCCTTACTTTTTAGGAGGAAAAAAGTGCGTCTTATGGAGTGAAAAATACGGTAGTTTATGGACCTAATAGGTATCTAAAGCCATTTGCACATAACAAAATATGTATTTTATCACATTGGTTTTATTTTATTTGTTTTTTATCTTATATTTTGGAAATGTACATCCATTTTTTTCCCTTTAGATTTTTTGCCGCCCCCCCCCCCCGAGAGTGGGGCCCTAAGCTATAGCTTGTTTAGCTTATATGTAAATCTGGCACTGGTGCGGCTGTTGTCGCATACTTAAAGAGCCTTTCCTGGATGGGAATGAAATTCTGCATGGGTTGGAAAAAGTGGACAGAGAGAGAATACGCATGTTGGAATCATAGAGTCGGAAGGGACCCCTAAGGTCATCCAGTCCAGCCCCCCTGCGATGCAAGAATCTCAACTAAGGAAGATGCCCGTCAAGCGAAAGGAAGCGCTTTGACTTGGAAAGCATTGTTAAGCTGGGTTTTTAAAAAGCAAATACAGTGGTGCCTCGCAAGACGAAATTAATTCATTCCGCAAGTTTTTTCTTCTTGCGAGTTTTTCGTCTTGCGAAGCACGGTTTCCCATAGGAATGCATTGAAAATCAATCAATGCGTTCCTATGGAGACCGTCCGGGGACAGAGGGGAAGCGCCGCGCGCCTTCCCCTCTGTCCCCGGAGATTGCGGGGCTGGCAACGGGGAGAAGCGATCTTCTCCCCGCCGCCCCTTGCTTCAAAAGAGGTCTGGGGACAGCGGGGAAGACGCGTTGCGCTTCCCCGCTATCCCCGGAGCTTGCGGGGCAAGCTTCGTTTTGCGAAGCAAGCCCATAGGGAAATGCGTCTTGCGAAGCGGCTAAGAAAACGAAAAACTCCTTCGTCTAGCGAGTTTTTCGTCTTCCGAGGCGTTCGTCTTGCGGGGTACCACTGTAAACTTATTTAGAGCATTTGTAGCGTGCTTTTCACCAAAAAAAGTCTCCCGGAGCGGCTTACATGAAATCAAAACAAGACACCCCCTTCCCACAGGTTTTTTTGATGCCAGCCTCTGCAGTAGCTGTACGGGACACCCCCAAAGAAGAAGGAGACTCCTAGAAAAGTTGCATTTGCGGCTGCAAGATGTAGAATTGGGCCACCGGTTGGGATGCCTTGCAAATCGAGTTCGGCAAATTCACATGCAGTCTCCCAACCCAAAGAGAAAAGACCCTGACCTTTCGTAACGATAAAGTTGCCTTCCCCAAGTTGGTGCCCTCCAGATGTTTTGGACTACAGATCGTGGCTGGGGCTTTGCAATCCAGAACATCTGGAGGCCACCAGCTTTGGGAAGGCTGCACTAAACCAATGCGGTTCCTGCCCTTTGCAAAAACGCATTCCGTCCACCGTGTAACGGGCTGGAAAGAAACTGAGCCGATGAAATCTGCAAAATACCAATTGCCTCGTTTTCTTGCTAGTGGGCTGCAGTTTAGCTGGCAGAGTGGAGAGGAAATGGCCAATTGGACCGGCAGCCTCAATTTCACGGATGGCGGAGCTCTGAGGAGTGGCGGTGACACTGGCACCAGGTACAATCGGACACACCCAGGGCGTTGTGGTGGCGGGGTTGACCGTGGTCCCCGGGGAGAGTCGCTTGGCACAGTCGGGGCAGGCCCCACAGCTCAGTGGCAAAGCGCTGCATCCTTTGCATGCATGAGACCCCAGGATTTCTGATAGCAGCACTAGGAAAGTCCCTGCACCCACAGAGAGATCCCCGCAGGTCAGAGCACCAGGGTTAGATGGAGCATTGATCTAGCTAATGGGATGCGGGTGGCGCTGTAGTCTAAACCACTGAGCCTCTTGGGCTTGCCGACCAGAAGGTCAGCGGTTCGAATCCCTGCAAAGGGGTGAGCTCCAGTTGCTCTGCCCCAGCTCCTGCCAACCTAGCAATTCGAAAGCACGTCAAAGTGCAAGGTGTTTCCGTGCGCTCTGGCTTCCGTCACGGTGTTCTGTTGTGCCAGAAGCGGTTTATTCCTGCTGGCCACATGACCTGGAAAGCTGTCTGTAGACGAACGTCGGCTCCCTTGGTCTAAAAGCGAGATGAGCGCTGCAACCCCATAGTCGCCTTTGACTAGACTTAACCGTCCAGGGGTCCTTTACATTTTTACCTTTTAGATCTAACTCCGTGTATGTCATGGACTGGCTAAGAGAAGAGAATAAAGATTTGGGGACAAGTGCAAATCCTTGCGATGATGGGACATGCTAGTTGGTCTGATTGACAGAGAAGTCTACTACTACTACTACTGCTGCTGCTAATAATAATAATAATAATTTGCAAGCCTTTAGCAGTCTTTCCCCAAATTGGTGCCTCCCTCCAGAAGTTTTGGACCACAATGTCCCATCAGCTGATGGTAGAAGTAGTCCAAAGTAGGTGGCAAGCACCAGGTTTTGGAAGGCAGAGAGCCTTCTCGGTAGTGGCACCCGCCCTGTGGAACGCCCTCCCACCTGATGTCAAAGAAAAAAACAACTACCAGACTTTTAGAAGACATCTGAAGGCAGCCCTGTTTAGGGAAGCTTTTAACGTTTCATAGGTTATTGTATTTTAATAGTTTGTTGGAAGCCGCCCAGAGTGGCTGACGAAACCCAGCCAGATGGGCAGGATATACCGTATTTTTCGCCCTATAGGACGCACCGTCCCATAAGGCGCACCTAGTTTTTTGGGGGGGAAATAAAGGGGAAAAAATTATTTCCCCCCCAGGCGCGGGGCTGGGGCGGGGGAGGCCCGAGCTTCCCCCGACCCCAGCCCCCAAACAGGCAGCTCTCTGCAAGCCGTGGGAGCCCAGCGCTGGCTCCCGCTGCTTGCGGAGAGGTCCGCGAAGCCTGGACGCACTGATCTCAGCGCGCGCAGGCTTCGGCATGCCGGCAACTCTCCGCAAGCAGCGGGAGCGCTCCCGCTGCTTGCGGAGAGGTCCGCGAAGCCTGGAGACCGAGAGGGGTTGGTGCGCACCGACCCCTCTCGCTCTCCAGGCTTCAGCGAAAGCCTGCATTCACCCCATAGGACGCACCCAGATTTCCCCTTCATTTTTGGAGGGGAAAAAGTGCATCCTATAGGGCGAAAAATACTAAATAATACTAAATTATTATTACTACTATTATTATGAAGGGTGATCCAGAAGGATAGGGACAGAGGATGATGTCTCAATCAATCAATCAATCAATCAATCAATTAACTTTGTATACTGCCCTTCATCCAAAGCTGACAGGATGGTTCATAGCATAACGATACAAAAATTGAAACGTAAAATGCATAATAAGACAAAAGCAGAACAAACCCAGTAACCTCCATCCCACAAACACATTTAAAAGACCATAGAATGTTAACCAGCCAAACGCCTGGAGATGCTAGGATTGGAACCCAGGGCTGCCTGCCCTTGAGCTATGGCCCTCTCGCCCTGCCCAATGCGGTAACAGGAATGCCCTCCAGATTTGTCCAAATGTGCCCCTTGCGCACTGTCAGCTCTGTGCTCCTTTCAAACGGCAGAGTTAGCATCTGAAGCAATGTGACCCTCCAGGAAAAGATGAGCGAAAGCTGATCTGGGCGCTGCAGTGCATCGTAATGGGCTAGGACGGCTCTCGTGCAGCAGCTACGTGACTCAGGCTGTTATATTTGCAGAACGCATCACTCAGAGCCTCTCCTCCTCCTCTCCACGTGCTCTCCAAAGGCAGCCGGCACAATCTGTGACCCTTTCCGCTCCCATATGGTAACTCCATAAGAGCCCAGTGCTGAACTTACTATTTATTTTAGTTTGTGATTGCAGTTTTTTTTTAAAAAAAATCCCACCTTTCATCCAAGGACCTCAGGGTGACTTTCAGGCTCCCCCCACCCTCATTTTTATCCTCAGCACAACCCTGTGAGGTAGGCGAGATTGAGAGGCAGAGATATTTGAACCTGGATCTCCCTGGTCTTAATCCAGAATGCCAACCATTACACCACCCAGGCTGTCTTACTCATTTTCACCACCCTATTTTCTTGAAAATAGGTGTGGGTGGGGGGAAAGGGACTTTCAGCTGTTTTTGACAAAAACAAAACAAAATGGGGGACTGTTCAGGTGGCTGTGACAATGCTCCTCTGAGCAGCCAGTGACCGCTCTTAAAATTTCCCAGAAGTCCTCTGGGGAAAAGCACATAGCATTGTTCCCAGGAGACTTCTGGGAAATTAAAATGGTGGCCAGCCTGACAATCACCTCTCTGGTCGTAGTGAAACCTGTGTTGGAGAAAAAGTGAGGGGGTGGTGGTTTCAAGGCACCCCCTTCCAACTGAGAGCTTTAGGGCCATTCTAAATAAACTTCCTGGTTTCGCTTACTACCTGTGACTTCAAAGGTAGGGCCAGGGATTGTTCAACGGACCTCAAGACTAGTAGGCTGTGTTCAGGTTGGTGGAAGGGCCATCGCTCAGCGGTAGATTGTTTCCTTTACATGCAGAATCCCTGACATCTCAAGGTAGGACTGGGAATGACCCTCACCTGAAACCTTGGAAAGCTGCTGCCAGTCAGTGTAGACAATACTAAGCTAGATGGACCAATCATCATCATCATCATATTTATACCTCACCCATCTGGCTGGGTTTCCCCAGCCACTCTGGGCAGCTCCCAACAGAGGACTAAAAACAGAATAAAATGTCAAACATTAAAAACTTCCTTAAACAGGGCTGCCTTCAGATGTCTTCTAAAAGTCAGATACAGTGGTACCTTGGGTTATGAACTCAATTCGTTCCAGAGGTCCGTCCTTAACCTGAAACCGTTCTTAACCTGAGGTACCACTTTAGCTAATGGGGACTCCCGCTGCCACCGCGCCGCCGGCACACGATTTCTGTTCTCATTCTGAGGTAAAGTTCTTAACCCGAGGTACTACTTTCGGGTTATCGGAGTCTGTAACCCAAAGTTTTTGTAACCCAAAGTGTTTGTAACCCGAGGTACCACTGTAGTTGTTTATTCCCTTTATATCTGATGGGAGGGTGTTTCACAGGGCGGGTGCCACTACTGAGAAGGTCCTCTGCCTGGTTCCCTGTAACCTCACTTCTCGCAGGGAGGGAACCTCGAGAAGGCCCTCAGAGCTGGACCTCAGTGTCCGGCATGAATAATGGGGGTGGAGACGCTCCTTCAGGTATACATGGCCAAGGCCGTAATTGGTTTAAGGCAGCTTACTGTCATCCCAAGTTGTGCAAGCCTCGTCTAAAACGACCATTAAAGGTAAAGGTAAAGGGACCACTGACAGTTAAGTCCAGTCGCGGACGACTCTGGGGTTGCGGCACTCATCTCGCTTTACTGGCCAAGGGAGCCGATGTACAGCTTCTGGGTCATGTGGCCAGCATGACTAAGCCGCTTCTGGCAAACCAGAGCAGCGCACGGAAACGCCGTTTACCTCCCCGCCAGAGCAGTACTTATTTATCTACTTGCACTGCATGCTTTCGAACTACTAGGTTGGCAGGAGCTGGGACTGAGCAACGGGAGCTCACCCCTTCGCAAGGATTCGAACCGCCGGCCCTAGGCTCTGTGGTTTAACCCACAGCGCCACCCGCGTCCCTAAAATGACCAGTAGGGTTGACGTTTTTCTTGCTTGGTCGTGGAACTCTTTGGGGATCTAAAGAGAGCGGAGGGTGGGCCCAAGGACCCAGAGATTACACACACATTAAGGTGGTTTATGGTTGGTGGAAGGACCCTGAGTGAGAGACAGGGAAGGGGAGACCTCCCAGGATGAGAGATTTGGAGAAGAAAGGAAAGCTCCCAGCTGAGAGCTTGGAGGGTCCACCACTTTCTGTGGGTAGCAAAGGTTGAGAGCTACCTTTGAATGAAGACTCTGTGTTTTCTTTCCTCTTTCTTTCTCTGCTTTTTAAAAATATATTTAGATTACAGTGGTACCTCGGGTTACATACGTTTCAGATTACAGACTCTGCTAACCCAGAAATAGTACCTCGGGTTAAAACTTTGCTTCAGGATGAGAACAGAAATCGTGCTCCGGCGGCGTGGCAGCAGCAGGAGGCCCCATTAGCTAAAGTGGTGCTTCAGTTTAAGAACAGTTTCAGGTTAAGAACAGACCTCTGGAACGCATTAAGTGCGTAACCAGAGGTACCACTGTAGTTTCTTTTCTCTTACTGGACCATGAAAAAGGCTTTAATAAAACCTTAGGAAAATAAAATAAAATAAAGAGAGCAGAGGGGGAGGAAAATACCCAGAGAGAGTTCGAGGACCTAGAATGCTTCATCACTGCCCTGTCTCCTCTCATGACAAATCGGACACCAGGACATAAGCAGCAGGGAAGGACTAGGTTGGTGGTCCTTGCTGACCTCAAGACATTTGATCCTCGAGGGTAATCTTCCTCCCTCTTTGCAAACCTGAGTCACCTTCAGCTTCATTCTGCAGTGAAACCGTAGTCCTGGGCGTACGGGGGTCCCAGAGCAGCCTGCAGCAATTAAAACAGCAATAAACAATCAAAATCACATTCTCAGTGTGGGGTCACTAACAGACTAACGCCCACAGCAGCAACGCAGTGTGTAAAAACCAGTAACCATTCTGACAGTTTGGGTTTTGTTG